ATGCGTGGTGCCTGTGGAGGCTGGAAGAGGGTGTTGGATTCTCAGGACTGGAGTTAAAGATGGCTGTGAGGCATCATGTGGGTGCTGGGAACTGAACTTAAGTCCTCTGCCAGAGCAGCCAGTGCTCCTAACCACTGTGCCATCTCTCCAGCCCCCATTCTTTGATTTTTGAGAGCCCAAGTTGGTCTAAAACTAGCTTTATAGCCCAGGCCGACCCTGAACCTCTGATGCTCCTGCTCCACCGCCTGAGTGCTGAGAACACCAGCACACCTTAAGCACCTACTGTAAGGACCAGTTTTACAGATGTGCTGATGCAGGCCATGCTAGTAGATCATGCTCAGGACACACATCAGGTCGGTGCCTACGGCCTGTTGTCTTCCCGCAGCTGCAATAAACCTCCTCCTCCTCTAATGCCAAGGAACCCTGGTATGCCTCAGTTTCCCCCACTTGATCCAATTACCCATTTGGACCTCATTCTTGGGCCTCCCCCTTGTTCCCTCTACTAGTCAGAATGTCTACATGGAACATTCTGGAGCACCTAGCCCCAAGGGGTCTATTGTCTACATGGGACTCCTTATAACCTAATTGAACAAGTCAAAATAAACTCAGGGGAAAAAGTGCTTGCCTTGAGAGCATGAGGACCTGAATTCTGACCTTAGGACCCATAAACATGGGTGTGATGGTGAACAGTTGTTAGCCCAGTGCTGGGGAGGAGGAGACAGGAGGTTCCCTGGGGCTCACTGGCCGGCCGGCCTAGCCAGGTCACCCCAAGCTAGTGAGAGACACTGTCTCAATAAACACGGTAGATGGTGTGTGAGGACCACCACCCGAGGTTGTCCTCCAGCCCCTGTATCCACGTGCACACATTTGTACCTGCGCTCGGGAGCACACACAAAATAACATCCAAGGAAACCTCAGTCTCCCATCACAGTTCACAGCTCAGGGTTCTGTCACCAGTACTGTCTCCATTCTCAACATGGACAGTGAGCACTGTCACCCCAGGAGAAAGGTCTGGTCACCCGGCGCTGGCAATGTTTCCTGTGCCTGCCTGCCTGCCCCCTGACATCTTGCTCTGTGTGGCTGTGAGGCACAATGGTGCTATTCAGGTGTCGTCTCACCGTCAGAAGGTGGCTGGCTGCCGTGGAATGCACCCACTCTGGAAACCTTGGCCTGATCCTCCCTCTCCCCAAAGCCCAACCGCCATGGTGGCTTCCTCTTCCCTTTGCTGCCCTCAGAGCACCTAAAAGCCATGCTCTCCTGGCTGTCCTTCATGACTCTCTATCTAGCCCAAGGCCGGCAGGAGCCACGAGAGAAAGTTAAGAAGCTTCCGGGAAAGGAGGTGGACAGCAGTGGCTAGCACTCGTCCTTAAGGCAGTCAGAGATTGGACGGGCGGGTAGGTGGGCGTTTTGGTTTTTATCTTTTTTGATGCATGTCTGTCTGCCTGGGTACCATGTATGTGCAGGGCCTGTAGAAGCCAGAGGAGGAAGTCAGATCCCCAGGAACTGGAGTTACAGATGTTTGTGAGCCGCCCTGTGGGTGCTGGGAACTGAGCAGCCAGTGCTCTAAACCACCGAACCAGCCCCTCCCAGGTTTTTTTTTTTTTTTTGATAAGGTCTGCTTCTGTAGCTCAGGTTGACCCAGACCTTCAGTGATGTCCCTGACTCAGTCTCCTGAGTGCTAGAATGACAGGCGTGGACAGACACACGGGGTGGGGGGGGGGAGTTTTTGGGGTTTGGGTTTTGGTCCTGGGAATGGAACCCAAAACGTGCTAAGTACATGTGCTTCACTGAACTTCAGCCTAAGCCCAGACACAGATGTTTTAAACTTTTCCGTGCAAGAAGGAGGGAGGAGGGAAAGAAAGCTGGCCGGGAAGTGGCCTTTGCAGTTCCCTCTTCTGCTCGCACGGTTTCAATTTCCACCCATAGCGGGGATCTCTCAGACCCCAGTGTGAGCCTCAGCCTTCTGCTAAGTACCAGTTGGGTCCTCACCCTCCCCACCCCGCTTCCCAAGGCCCAGCGTGTACCCAGACGCAGGGGCTGCACTCATCGTCTGTTTTCAAACCTGCTTGTTCTCCTGTGACGACTGTGTCCCCCCTGTACTCCAGTCTCCAGGTGGCATGCCCAGGAGCCACCCGCCCATCAGTCCTGGCCCCCAATGTCCACTCTCAGCTTCCTGACCTCCTAGCCATCCTCACACAGTTCCCACAGAGCCTGCCCAGCCCCCAAAGCCCCACACTCGGGTGGCCTGTGAGTGCCCAGGAGGTCTGGCACCAGCCTCCTCACCCATGACAATGTTCTTTACACCCTGAACTCTGCTCTGTCTTCAAGTCACATCGGGCTGTCGTCAGGGAGGACTTCGAACATGCAGTTCCAAGGCCCAGGGCCACCTCCAAGCACCACACTGCAACACCTCCTCAATGACACCTGTACCCATCAGCTCCCAGCTCCCACGACTTCTGTCACCCTGCCTGTTCCTTTGCCATCAGTAAACCAGTCTGTGTGTTTGTTTACACATTCTCCCATCCCACCACGGTGGGACAACGGGCCCCCGAAAAAGGCACACTAAGGAAAAGAGATGACTACCCCAGGCCAAAAGCCCACCCTGAGGGAAGATTTAAAGCTGGACCCATCGAGGGAGGCCACGGACGAAGCTGGGAGGCCCTACGGGGCTCGCTTGTGTCCCCTGCCACCCACAGCACAGCACGCAGTGGTAATTGCCCTCTTCTCGTGGGAGTTGCGGATATTTCCGGGTGTTTATTAGATGGTGGGCAGAGTTCCAGAACCGTCCCGAAGTGACCTTGTTTGGTTTGCACAGCAACCTCGGGAGGGAGGAGCTCTGTGCCCAGGTGACAAGCGTGGCCCAAGAAGGGAATTACTATCCCAAAGCCGCAGAGCTCTGTTCGGCTGGCATGGCTATGCTCGCCTATGCTCGCCTATGCTCGCCGGGCCAGCATGAGTCCAGGGATGCCACAGAGAGCCAAAGCAGACAGAGACAAAGTGACACAAAGAGGGACACATGGACGAGACACAAAGACACGGAATGGATCCCTGAAGCGTTTACACGCTCCCCCACCCGCGGCTAGGGGGAGAATGCAGAATCCGAGGTGTACCCTAGGCAGAGTGGCCCAAAACAAGGGCAGGGAAGGGTCTGTCTGAGGTGGAGGCGGGAAAAGGTCTTGGTGGGCGGGGCCTGTCTGTGGTGGGCGGGGTCTGTCTTGCTGGGCAGAGAAGGGTCTGTCTGTGGTGGGCAGAGAAGGGTCTGTCTGTGGTGGGCAGGCCTTGTCGGCGTTGAGTAAGGCGAGTCCGGTCTGTGGGGAGGGAGCCTGTCTGCAGCGGGCAGGGCCCCCGAACCTGTGCTGCCAGCTCAGCAGCCCCGAACTGCTCACCCCGAATCATCGCAGAGGTCCACTATGAACGTCGTGCACACTTTCTTCCTGAAGATCTTAGGGATCCAGCTCTGAGAACCGGAACAAGAAGGGCAGGGCGAGGACCCGGGTCAGACCCACGGGATGCGAAGACAGCCCCGCGCGCCCCCGGGGACACCTTGGGAACTCCAGTGTCCTCCTCCCGCAGGCTCAGCCGGGACCCCAAGCCGCTCCTCGGTCTGGGAACCCCTGGCCCAGCGCCCGCCGCATCCCACCCGTCCCGGCGGGGCTGGCGCCGCCCCTCGAACCCGCTCACACCCAGCCCCGCGCTGTGCCATACCTGCTCCTTCTCCAGCCCCACCATGCTGCTGCCGCCGCAGCCCCTGGGGCTCCGTGTATTTCCTCCCAGCAGCCGACCCGCCCGACCAAACCGGATCCGCAACTTCGCAGCCTAGCCCGGGGCGGGGAGCCCTGGGGAACACGTCACGGGAGGCGGGAAGAGGGCGGTCTGCGAGGCGGAGGAGGGACCGACTGGGCTGCCTAGACGGGGGTGGGGTCGGGTAGGGGGACCAAAGACCCGGACTCGGAGGACAGAGCCAGCAGAGGAAGGAAGGAGACAGAGCGGGCCGTGGGAGAAACACAGACTCAGAGGACAGAGACTGCGAGAAAGATCCAGAGAGAGAGAGACCCAGAGAGGTGGGGTGGGGAGGGAGGCAGAGACCCCGAGAGAGAGGGGGACAGGCACAGTGAGAGCTGGAGAGTCAGAGGGTTTAGAATCCTAAGAGAGGACAGGGACCCTCAGTGACTATAATGGGGTGGGGGAGCTTGATTCATAAAGGACAAAAACCCAAAGAGCATGGGTATGTTGACAAGTGTGGAATGGCCCTCTGAGAAGGGTGACACCTGTCTCTTGCCAAGTCCCTCCGGTGGGGACAGCTGGGGCCTCGGTCGTAACCTGAGCCCCTAGCACCCTCCCCTGCTGTATTTATAGCTCTGGCCTGGTCCCCTGCCCCCAGAGCTGAGTTCCAGGGACAGGAGGTCATGGGGTGTTGGGGACAGGACTCCTTTACTCTCTTCCACAGCCTCTGCATGTCACCCACTCTCACACCACACGTCCCACCCTGGCTGCACATCCTCACTAGTGTACCCCCAGTTCTTGCATGGCAGGTCCCTTGGCTCCTATATTTACTCCTCATCGTGAGAGTGCCCCAGGCTCTTCCAGCATAGCATTCTAAAAGGCTAGCCTTTGTCTTAAAGTTGCCAAACTTGGGCTTTGGGGCAGTCCAAAGACAAGTCCCTGCCCCCTCCTGGCCATGAAGACCCCTCCGCCACCCAGTCCTGAGCCAGAGGAGCTGAGGGGAGGGGCAGGCAGGGAGTGACCAGAATAACTTAGGCTGAGGATAAATTTAGCCACAAGAGGGGAGGGGACAGACCCCATTGGCCCAGCAGTGGGAAGGGAGGTCCTGGAACCAGGGTCACGGGCCTCAAAGGGGACATCCTCAGAGAGGCATCCAAGACCTGAGGAAGATAGACAAGGAGAGAGTGGGAGAGATACCACCACCCAAGAAAGACAACCTCAAAGTCAGAACAGAAAAGGCGCAAGGACCCACCAGAGGCAGCTGAAGCCAGGCTCAACTGCTAAACGTCCCCATGGGCTTTCAGGGGCCATGGTTGCATACTTGTCTCCTTTGGGCCACAGTAGCCAGCCTGCTGGTCCCTCCAGTGGTGACCCAGGAGCTGAGAGGGGCTGGGCTAGGCCTCGGCAACTGGAACAACAATGCAGGCATCCCTGGGTCTTCAGAGGACATGTCAGCTGAGTTTGGCCACCACATCCACAGCCATGGGGGCCATCGAGATGAGAAGGATAGAGATCACAGAGAAGAGGGTGAGGATTTCTCCAGGGAATATGGCCACCAGCTCCAAGACCACAGGTACCCTGGTCACGAGGTTGGAGAGGAGAATGTCTCTGAAGAGGTCTTTAGAGGGCATGTTAGACAGGCCCATGGGCACGATAATGAAGATTTGGGGGACTCAGCAGAGTCTGAGAACCACTTCCCCAGACAGAGGAGTCACAGCCTTGACGATGAAGATGAGGACAACATTTTCTCCAGTGAGACTCGCCATCACATCGCCAGCCATGTTCACCACGGCCATGGAGGGGCAGATGATGATGGAGAGCAGGAGGAGGGGGTGGGAGTGGAGGAGGACTCTGATGATAAGCACCAGGCCCATGGTCACCACAGCTACTCAAAGGAAGGAGATGAAGCGGGTTCAGATGAACACCATCACGCCCACAGCCACAGACATGGAGGCCACAAAGATGGAGATGAAGAAGATGTTGACTCCAGTGAATCTGGACACCAGGCCCAGGGCCACCAAGGCCACAAAGATGAAGAAGATGAAGAAGAGGATGATGATGATGACTCCACTGAGCGTGGGCACCAGACCCAAGGCCACAGAAAGGAAGAAGATGAGGATGAGTCAGATGAAGACCATTATCACATCTCCAGGCCTGGACACCGAAGCCATGATGATGACGATGACGATGATGATGATGATGATGATGATGATGGCGGCTCCACTGAGCGTGGGCACCAGGCCCACAGACACAGAGGTGATGAGAAGGAAGGTGATGAGGATGACTCAGATGAAGACTACCATCGTGTCCCCAGCCATGGCCATCAAAGTCACCAAGATGAGGAAGAGGAAGAAGAGGAAGATGTATCCAGTGAACACTGGCACCAGTCTCCCAGACATACTCACCGTAGGCTCGGAAGTGAGAGTCAAGAAGAGGAGGTAACAGTCAAGTTCAGCCACCAACCCCAAGGCCACAAGTCTGACAAGGAGGAGGACTTCCCAGAAGAATATATGACAGAAGTCCCTGGCCATCACCACCACAGAGTCTCCAGGGAGGGAGACAAGGACATTTCTGCTGAGTTAGGCCACAAGGACCCCAGCCACAGGCCACAAGATCAAGATGAACAGACTAGCCAGGGTCACAGAGAGTCTGTCCAAGGTGACATTGGTCATCAGCCCCTGCAGCCCACAGGGGCTGGTTCTGAAGAATCAAAGAAGGAAGTTGACCATAACTCTCAAGAGGGCGATGAAGACTCAGGGCAGAGCAAAGGAGCCCACAGCGAGGAGGAGGAGGAGGGGGAGGAGGAGGGGGGGGGGAGGAGGGGGAGGAGGAGGAGGAGGGGGAGGAGGGGGAGGAGGAGGAGGGTCATGGCCTCCCCATGAGCCAGGAAGATGAGGAAGAGGAAGAAAAAGATGAGAAAGAGAGCAGAGAAGACAGAGCTGAGGTTCAGACTCCCCTGAGCCATCACAGAAAGCAGGAGGAGGAGGAGTCTGAGGAGGAGGAGGAGATCCTGGAAGAAAACCTGCTACCTTTCACCATCATCCCAAACCCCCTGGCTGGGAGGGAGGTGGCCAGAGAGGGCTCCAGTGAGGAGGAGAGCCGTGAGGTCACAGGTAGGTGAGCCGGCTCTGTGGGAGTGGAGAAGGCAGTTAGCCCACTGGTCAGTCACTGTTGCCTCCTGTCCCCACAGGTCAGCACGACGCCCAGGAGTACGAGAACTACCAGCCAGGGTCCCTGTGTGGTTACTGTTCTTTCTGCAATGTAGGTCCCTAGCCCGGATCTGCCTGGCACGCCCCGGGGTGCCGGTGGGAGGCCTCTGAACCTGGGAGTGAGGGGACACAAAAACAAATGCTCCAGAACAAGCTGGAGACCAGAAGCTGGGGTAGGGAGGCTGTGGCAATAAGCATTTATGGCCTCCGATGAGGGTCAGCCTCCCGGGTCCGCAACCACTCACAGGCCCTGCCCTGGGTGAGTGGACCACTTGGGGTTATCTTGAGATAGGAAACCAGGGAGGGTGGTTGAGGAGCCACCTGGAGAGGAGGGACTCTGAGTTCAGACAGGGAAGTGACCTGAGGGATTCTGGGTGGGGGCGCCTCTAACCAGGCTCTTCCTGTCCCCAGAGATGTACTGAATGTGAGAGCTGTCACTGTGATGAGGAGAACCTGGGGGAACACTGTGACCAGTGTCAGGTGAGGCCTTCCCAGAGACTCAGCCAGGCACCAAGATGGCTGGGCCACTAGAGCCCCCAAGCCACGATCCTGGCCTTACGGCACATCATGCCTCCTTCCTATATGAGCATTCGGACCCTCTACCTAGCCTCAGGCCCCGGGTGGTCCCAACTCAGCTCCCTGACCAGACCCTCTCTGTCCTCAGCACTGCCAGTTCTGCTACCTCTGCCCACTGGTCTGTGAAACGCTCTGCACTCCAGGTGAGCAGCCAAGGGGGAGGGGCGGACACCCACGGAGGGGCAAAGCCCGGCCAAGTGAACCCTAGTGGGGTTGGAGCCAGCCTGAGCTGTGAACCAGGAAAGCTGTGGCTGAATGGTGGGCTGGGGTGGGGGTGTGGCCATGGCAAAGGTCCTGTGTGCAGAATCTGGACTGAAACTAAGATGGAGCTAATGGTGAAGGTACTCCTAGAGTAAGTGTGGGACCAGAGGAAACAAACTGAGGGTGGGAAAGCTGGAGACCTAGAGGGTGCGAAGCAAGCAGGAATTAGAACGGTGCTGAACAGCACACTCCTGCACTTGCCCTGAGAGTTCCCCCACCATCCACCATGCCTCTTCTCTCTGCTCCCTCACAGGAAGCTACATCGACTATTTCTCCTCCTCCCTGTACCAGTAAGTGTGGGGGGCTGGGCTGGGGATGCTGTGGTTCAGACTGTTGGGAGAAGGGCTGGCCCACTGTGAGTTAGAGAGCGCTCCCGGGACTCCGTGGTCTCCTCTGTGAAATGGGCAGGGTCATGACGGCTAACCTTTGTGTCCTCCTGTCCAGAGCCCTGGCTGACATGCTGGAGACTCCAGAGCCCTGACCTGGCCACAGCTGTCGCAGATGCACCTCCCCTGGACGGCCCACCTGACAAGAGCTCTGAATAAACACGCTCCTGGAAACATCAGTGTCCCGAGTGAGATGTGGCCTGCGGGGAGCGGGGGGCGGGCAGGGCAGAGGGCAGGCTGAGGCATCAGCCTCCCCTAGAAGGCCTGAAACAGGAGGGCCTCGACTCCTTGATTCTGGAGGTGTTGGTTTGCGTTTTTAACATCTTGAGAACAAAAGCTGGGAGTGGTGGCACACACCTTTAATCTCAGTGCAGAGGCAGAGGCAGGCGGATCTCTGTGAGTTCGAGGCCAGCCTGGTCTACAGAGTGAGTTCCAGGCCAGCCAGGACTACAAAGTGAGACCCTGTTTCGGAAAAGGGCTGGTCAATACCAGAGCTTTTGAAACAGCAGGTCTTTACCCGTGATCACTGAGTAACGCCTGGGGCTGGGAGGCCAACTGAGCGTCGGGTGGGGAGCTCCCCGCTGTCCGTCCCCTCCCCACGCCGCCACATCACCCAGTGGCATAGCTGACAGAGGGATTTTCCCATGCAAACCCCGGAGCCGAAGGGGAACTGGGAACGCAGTGCTGCGTCCCTGACCCTTGGGCACAGACACCGCCATAGCACGGGGGCGGGAAGGCCCCGGGGGACACGAGACACAGGACGGGGGACAGGGGACCCCGCTCACAGATGACCCCCCGAGGACTGGCGACCAGACGCAGCGGGGCAGGGCTGAGTGGCACAGGGGGGCGAGGCTTGTAGCAGCGAGTCTGCCCTCCCCTCCTAGCGGACGAAGAAGGAAGACTTGGGCCCCGCGACTGGGCAAGAGAAAGGGGAGGGGCGGCCTCTCCCCGCATGCGGCCCGAGACGGAAGCCCCGCCCCCTTTCCGCAGGTGCAGGGTGTCTGGCTCCCATCCGAAACGGATCAATAAATTACAAAGTAGAGAAAAGGGAGGCGGAAGTTTGGGGTGGGATTTCTTCCTGTCCTCTTCTTCCGCTGCCCCCCTCTTAGTCCATTTCCTGTGGTTTGGTCCAGGCCCAGTCCATTTGGGAGGCGGGAACACGCACACCGGCTGGTGTGTATAGATGGTGCAGTCCTCAGTGCGTGCGAGCTCCCTCACGGCGGTCTCCGGCGAGACAATATTCTGGAAAGGAGGGGAAACGGCCCAGCCTTCGGGAGGGTCTTCATCCAAGGGAGAGTGAGGTCACTTGCATTGAGGCCAGACAGTTCACAGAGTGGGCATCACCTGGTATACCATCCTGTGTTCCTATTGCACCACCCCGAACCCTAAAAATCACCTGGCAGAGTCCTCACCTGTAGGTGCACACTAGCAGGAGTAAGTCCGCACCGAAACACCATCTGCTCGTGAGCTCCCAGAAGTCTGGCCTAGAGAGAGAGCAGCCTTTCAACCCGGAACCCCCTAGTTTTCCCCAGGGAATTCCCCTCCTTAGCACTGGAGATTGAAGGTCGGGGTCCCCCATTGTTTGTCAAACCCTAACCCTTTACTAGGGGATTCTAGGCAGGGGCTCTACCACTGAGCCACACCCCCAGCCCCTCACTGGGGGATTCTAGGCAGGGGCTCTACCACTGAGCCACACCCCCAGCCCCTCACTGGGGGATTCTAGGCAGGGGCTCTACCACTGAGCCACAACCCCAGTCCCTCACTGGGGGATTCTAGGCTGATGCTCTACCACTGAGCCACACCCCAGCCCCTCACTGGGGGATTCTAGGCAGGGGCTCTACCACTGAGCCACACCCCCAGTCCCTCACTGGGGGATTCTAGGCAGGGCCTCTACCACTGAGCCACACCCCAGCCCTTCACTGGGGGATTCTAGGCAGGGTCTCTACCACTGAGCCACACCCCAGGCCCTCACTGGGGGATTCTAGGCAGGGGCTCTACCACTGAGCCACACCCCCAGCCCCTCACTGGGGGATTCTAGGCAGGGGCTCTACCACTGAGCCACATCCCCAGCCCCTCACTGGGGGATTCTAGGCAGGGGCTCTACCACTGAGCCACACCCCATCCCCTCACTGGGGGATTCTAGGCAGGGGCTCTACCACTGAGTCACACCCCCAGCCTCTCACTGGGGGATTCTAGGCAGGGGCTCTACCACTGAGCCACACCCCAGCCCCTCACTGGGGAATTCTAGGCAGGAGCTCGACCACTGAGCCACACCCCAGCCCCTCACTGGGGGATTCTAGGCCGTTCCTCCGCCAATGAGCTACATCTCCAGCTCCCTGTTTACTTTTTGAGGCAGAGCCTCACTAAGCAGCCCTGGCTGTCTTGAACTCACTCTTCTGCGGCCCAGGCAGGTATTGATCTTGCGATTATCTGCCTAATCCTGAGTAACTAGGTGACAGGCCTGAGTGGCCAGCCCAGATCCCCCAGAGTTTCTGTGAGCTCTGGCCTCAAGCCCTGGTACCCTCCGACAGACTTATGTGCCCGGCTCCACCATGGGTTTCTCTACTTCCCAGCAGCCTGGGACCCAAATAAAGAATCCAAGTGGCTCAAGGCAAGTTCATCCCCATCCTGGGAAGGAGATGTGAGAATAATCCATTACAAGGAGTGCCTGAGTGGCTGGAGCTTTGTCCAAAGAGGCTAGTAGGGTAGACCAGATGGAAAGTTGTCCCAAGATGTGAAAGGGTCTGGACTGTCACATTTGAGGGTCCCTTACCTTCAGGCTGCAGTTTGCGGAGTGGGAGCCCCGGTGAGCCTAGGGCTCCTGCTGCAGCTGAGCGAAAGTTGGGGGGTAACATCTCAGCCGAGTCGGGGGTCACACCTCGGAGGTCTTTCTCTCGGAACATCTTCCTCCAGGATGGGGACCGGCTGAAGGACTTGGCACTGTCCTATTGTGTGATAGGAACCCAGGATGAGGGAGGAGGGCATAAGCTCCCACCCCACCCCTCCTCGTTAACCATGCACCGCATTCAGCTCAGCCTTCAACCACAGTTGGTTGGCAACACCAAGCCCCACCCCTTCATCCCTGATTGGTAACTGCAACTGGGGACCTCCGCGCTGTGGCCACGCCCACCTCATCCAGCCGTCTATCTGTGCCTAGGGAGATGAGGTTGCTGAACTCTTTCTCCAGCAGTTGCCGGGCCTGGGGAAGGAGGACGGAAAGAGGTTAGTGGGCCAAGGTTGGAGAGCGCAGAGGGAGTGCCCAGCATGTTCCCTGACCAGCCAAGGCTCGCCTGTGCATTCTGGGTAGGTATCTGTAGAAGCAAGGCCAGGTCGGAGTAGTCGAAGGTTTCATCCAGAGCCAGCAGTGCCCCGTGCACCCCACTCTCGGTGAGATTCGTAGCGAATTCCTTCAGGCCGAGCCCAGACACCCAACCCATGACTCGTTCGTTGGACCACACCATCACGTCTGGGGATGAAAGGGACTCTTAACTGGTGCACCTCCCAGAGGCTAGCCCTGTCAGATTAGCCTAACTCCACCCTCATTTCCCATACCTGCCTCTATGATGGCCCCACCCCTCGTCTATGGAAATGACCAGTTAGGCCTGTGATTACCATTTCCCTCCCTAGCCACGCCCCCACACTGGTTCTACTCGTCATTTGTGGGAACAGTGTCCTAGTGAGCAGGTTCACATTCCTTCTTAGCCAAGCCCTTACACTGGCTTTACCCCCTGTGTGATAGCGCACCCCAGTGGCTAGGACCAGCCAGTCCGGCATGCAACTCGACACTCATTTTATTCTCTAGCCACGCTCCCATGGTGACTCCACCCTGTTTCCAGTAGCTCTTGGAATCTTCAGCTTCCCTCCCTCCAGCCCGCCTCCCCCCTGCCCCCACAGGACCTCACCTCTAATCTGGGTCTGGCTCTCTTCCCTCCTCCGCTCCAGGTCCTTCCGGTCATAGTTGAGCCGTTTCAGGCACATGATACCATAGTGCAGACTAACCCTGAGCAGTGGGGAAAACTGGGTCACCCAGGAGCCTTCCCATGGCTCTTAATGTTGCTCTTACGGACCCCTCTGTCTCTGTCTCTGTCTCGTGCGCGCGCGCGTGTGTGTGTGTGTGTGTGTGTGTGTGTGTGTGTGTGTGTGTGTGTGTGTGTGATACTCATGCTAGGCAAGTGCATCCCTAGTGCACTAGTACTTGCTTGAGCTCTCTCTCTCTCTCTCTCTCTCTCCATTTTTACTTTTTAATTTTGAGACAGGGTCTCACTAAGCTTCCTGGGCTGGCCTTGACCTCACTCTGTAGTCCAGGCTAACCTCAAATTTGTAATCCTCCTGCTTTTGCCCCCCCCCCCCCCAGTAGCAGGTCACCAGGACCACATCAGACCTCACTTTTCCTATGGACCACCTTCTTGGTTCAAGGAGCACCAAGTGAGAATTTCATGGAACTTCTCGTTGGCCAAAGCCTCTCTCGGGGTGTGACCTCCTCCCCCTGGGCTGTCCCCCTGGCCAGGCAGCCCCCACCTGTGGAAGCTGTCCACCATCTTGAGTTGGCCTCGCAGCTCCTTCTTGTTCAGATGGTCCAACATCCGAGCATCGACTAGCGACTCCATGAAGTAGCTTCGGTACTGGGGCAACCCAAGGCTGGGCAGCCAGTCGTTCCCCACCCACTCGTGGTTCATGTCGCCATATGCCAGGATCTGGGGCCATGGGCAGGTGAGGGAGGGGGTCAGGCCCTCTTGTCCCTTCCCATATGTATAGGGCAAGGATAAAGTTCAGTCCCCCCCCAAGCTAGTTTTCTCCCCACCACAGAACAATCTGGCCTCACTGCTGGAGACAATGGACCAGCTCAGGGTCTCATGTAGCCCAGGCTAGCCTCAAATTCACAGTGAATTTTTAGGATAGTCTTGAACTCTAGCTCTTCCTGCCTCCACTCTCTTGAGTATTGGGGTTACAGGTGTTCACCCCCATTCCAAGTTAGTGCTGGAAGCTAGGCGTGTATTATAGGCAAGGACTCTACCAAATGACCCCCAGCTCTGCAAGTCTGCGCCCACTCAGCCCAAACATGACTACACCTGGAGAGTCAGGACTCCAACATGGCTTTCCTGACACCCAGAGACCATCACTCCTGCAACACCGAGAAAATACTCGTCCAACAGTCCAGTTCAGGACAAGACTATGAGATAAGCCCAAAGTCTTTCTCAACTTTAGGGCCAGGAAGCAGACCATAGCCCAACCTGGAG